CCCCGGGGGCCGCGAGCCGCTGCAGGCGGGCCGCCAGGTCAGCGCGCTCCGCGTGCAGCTGCTTCACGCGCTCCTCGCACAGGCGGTACACGTCGACAATGAGCAGGCCCTGGCGGCGGTACAGACAGGGGCATGGGGCGTGGGGCGCGGGGCACGGCGCGGGCGGGTCGAGGTTGGGAGCTTGGGACGCGAGCGTGTCGGCCGTGCGAGGGCCCCAGCGTGGCTGAGCGCTAAAGACGGCTGCGGCCCCGGCCAATCGAATGCGGCGCACGCGGCGCCGAGCAAAGGCAAGCTCTATCGCCGCCTGCAGCCCCACACGGCTCCGGCCTGCTGGCGTTCCCTGCATTTTCACACCGCCCCAACAATCAGCCCCCCCCCCCCGGCGCACCTGGTGGCGGCTCAGGCGCGCCCCCTCGAAGAGCGCCTGCCGCCAGTGGTCGTGCGGCGCGTCCCGCTGGTTGGAAAACATCAGGCTGGCCCCGTCTGCGTCGTAGCGTGTGTAGGTCAGGGGCTGGAACGCCCGCGGGTTGAGCAAGAGGAGCAGGTTTTTCCACCTGGAGCGGTGGGATCAGAAAGTGTGTGTGCGCGTGCTTGTTTGGCTTTTTGTGTGTGTCTGTGTGCGCACGAGTGTGCATGTGGGTGCGCGCGCTTGTGTGAGCGAATGTGGGCGCGTGTTTTGTGGGTGCATGCATTCGCAAAAGCGTAGCTGTGCAGAACGTGGACCGTGTGCCATTGCACGTGTGGAAACACCTGCAGAACAGCGCAGCCACTGGTGGGCAGGATCGAGCATGGCTTCCCCCCCTTCCACTGCGAGCCCGCGTGGGCGAAGCGTGCCCACTGGCGCCGACGACCAGCCGCCGCCGCGCCACCCCCAAGCAGCGGCGCGCGCCGTGATCCCCCCGTCGCCCCTCCACCTTCCCCTGCCGGACCGACCTGAGCATCTTGACCGCGCAGCGCCCCAGCGCGGCGTCAAGCTGTTCCTCGGACGCGCAGTCCCCCTGAATCACGAGCGCCTCGTCCACCAGATCGCGCCACCGCGACTTTGCCTCGTTCGCGTCCATGGATGCATAATCAGCGACCGCCTCGGGCGGCGTCCTACGGCCGGGCGGGGAAAAGGGTCGCGCGCCGGTGGGAGCAGGGTCGGGGAGGTCGGATGAAGAGGGTTTCAGGTGGAGGGACGATGCCCGCGCGCGCGGCGCGGCGCCGGCTGCGCAGAAGGCGCGCAGCCCGGGCGTTCAGCCCCGGCCCTCACAGCGCCGCGGGATAAGTGCGCGATGCGGCGCGCGCGTCAAACCAAGCGCGTGTCAAAGCGAGCGGGGGTCGCGTGTTGGACCAAGCGGGGCTCGCGGCCGCGGGCGCACGCACCCCTGGACGTGCAGGAGGCATGTGCCTGGCTGCAGGTGAGGCAGCCTGGTCAACAGGTCGTCGCCTCGCGCAGCGGCCGCCCCCAGCTGCCCGGTGGACGCAGGGCCACTCGTGGTGACACTGGCGCTGCCTCCGCAGGAATTGCTGCCTGCCTGCTGCTGCTGCTGCTGCTGCTGCTGCTGCTGCTGCTGCTGCTCCTGCTGCAGCGGCGGCGGCGGCTGCCCCGACGCCTCACTCAGCGCGTCAATGCAGGAGCCGCCAGCGCTAGCGGCCGTGCCGGGGCTGGCGGCGCCCACGCCGACGGCCGCGGTCCAGCGCGCGCCATCCTCTTCGAGCAGCGCTTCGAGCCGGCGCCGCTCAGCGGCGGAGTGCTCGCACGCGACGCCGAAGGCGGCGCGCGCGGCGTCTGCCTCGGCGGTCACGCGAGCCAGCAGGTGCAGGGATGCGGCGCGCACCTGCAGGCGCTCGTTGGTGGCGCTGAGCTCGCGCAGCTGCCGCTGCTTGCGTTGCACCTTGTCTTGGAGGGCGGCTATGGCCGCGCGTAGGGCCGCCATGGCCCGTGGCACGGCGGCCGTTTTGAGGACTGCCCCGGGCGCGGACAGGACACCTTGTCAGCTGCTCGCTGGCTGCTGGGCTTGGGTCTGGGCGCCGTGGCGTATGCGTCGCCGCGCGTGTCCTGGTATGTGCGCTATGGTGTAGCTGGAGGTGGGCACGGCCTGGCCGGGTGCTCGCTCGGCGGACGCGTTGCAGCGCACTGCGGGTGACCAGTACTGCAGATCGCTGTGGGCGCACGCGGCAGGTCAGTCGTCTGTGAGCACTAGCTGCTGTGTGCTGCCGATCCTTGACGACAACAAACACAGCTACGATGTGGGGTCGAGGGGGACACGAAAAAAGAAGAAAGGTGTCGGGGCAAACTCTTGTGCGGCAGGATGATATAGAAATATTTTTGATAAGCGTCTTGTGATGTCTAAAATTGCCATTTGTCGCTTGAGGGCAGTCGGCGTAGCACAGCACGGGCACAGCCGGCACACATCGTGCGCTACTGATGATGAACCTCGCTCAATTCAAGCCAGCGGCTGCCGGGCGGAACCCAATGCATCGCCGATGCGACCACGCACACAGGTTGCTGGCGACTGTCGCGGCGGATGTCGATGAGTTCAGCAAATCGCCTGGCGCTATGCGAGAGGACCCCAGGTACAGTAAGAAGCATGGCGCAGGCGCGTCTCTTGGCGGAGCACTAAGCACAAGAGATCAAGGGAACACAAGTCGAAGGGTATGCCAATAGCCCAGGGCACATGCACACTGGGGTCAAAATTGTATCAGTCGGTGCAGGAAGGTCCCATCCCCGACCAAAGCTTGATGATTTCCCTCCAAAAACATCAACACAACCCTGCAGCGGCTGATTTGATTTCATCTCGCCGTAACGTGTCGGCACCTGTGGCTTGGTATCATTAAATAGCGTCCGCTTGCTGGTCTGGTGCGACGCACTGACAAAGGCGCGCAAGAAACGGCCGATGGTAATGACAGAATCTCAAACACGAATTGTTGCGCTGACCGTACGAAGAGATTCGCGTGGGTGCACGGGCATCGCCACCCTGATGCATCTGACACATGGTTTTACAACCCATTGGGGGTCGGCATGCACTCTTTTCGCTGCTGCTGCAATGGACAGGCTTTCTCAAGGGCAAGGGCCGAAGCACTATCATGCACCTGGAACACACACAACCAGTACACAGCGCCTTGCACCGGCACTGGGACACATCTTCCTTCCATTTCTGCGGACCTGCAGGGCAACGCCACGGTGCCGTCGCTGGTGCCAACACAGCCAGCAGCACTCCAAGCAACATCCTCATGAGTGGGCGGTGTTGCAACGCGCGCTGTGTTGCCATAGGCATGTGCCGCCGGCCGCATGCCACCGTCAGCATGGTGATGCGAGTGCTGCTGGGGTGGCTGCATTGGCATCACTCAAAGCTCATCGGAAGGGGAAGTTCCCTGGCGACCACAGTCTAAAAGGTGACGGTAATGACGGTAGGGCGGCCGTCGATGCAGCTGTGCTGAGCGGGACGTATGCAGCACACACTCAAAGCTCACAGGTATGACATGATGAGCTTTTGACGCTCTGAACTACGGTTTCCACAGTGGAAAGCGCACACCCGCTTGAGCTGCTTGCGTGGCCAGTTCAAATCAGTCGGTTGACGGTCCAAGCTCGCAAGCTCTGGTCATTGCCGCTGCAAGTTGGATCGATCATTCACGTTTTATTGAATGCTCACTTTCTGTTGGCCGGCCTTACGGTACAGCTCGGCGAGTACAGACCCGACATCGACCTTGGCACCATTGGCCCTTCACGCGGCCTAGACACGCACACACTCAAGCAACAAATACTTAACTGTGCTTCAACCGATCAAGCAGGTGGGAGCAGCATCGCTTGACGCAGCCGACCCCCGGCCAGCAACCGCCACGTTGGACCGCCGGCCAGGGAGCCTGCACTCATGCACCGTGTCAAACAAGCACGCCGCCATCCCGCACTGGCATTGATGACCTTTAACGACCAACAGTACGCGAATTGCATCAGAGCTATAGCTATGCTTCGGGCCGTGCGTGAACGAGTCGGCGCCATGGAGCTGCCCAACCAGCCAGCGTTTGACCAGCCACGCGCTTCGCCGATTCGCGCCACCCCCTTCAAACACAGGATCCCCCCCAAGGCCGCCGCCATGACTGCAACCAGCTCCAAACCGCGCGCCACCGCCGGCGCGCCCATGCTCCTCCCGCTGGCGCTGCTGCTGCTGCTCGCGCCGCTGCCCCAGCCGGCGGCCGCCAAGGAGCAGACGCTGCCCCTCATCGCCAACCTGCTGAGCGCGGGCCTTAGCGGCCTCAGCAGCCTCGGCGGCGCACCCGGCGCCACCACCGGCACGGGCCTGCGCGGGGCCGGCCCCGGCGAAGCGCAAGGGGCGTCGCAGTCTGGGCCGGACCTGGGGTCGCTCTTCAAGACCGTTTTCCAGTTGGCGTGCCCGGTGCTGCCGATCTCGCTGCCGCCCTTCCCCATCCGCGCGGACGCGCTGTGCGAGAGCACCGGAATGGGACAGCCAAACAACCAGATGGCGTGCTCAATCTTCGACATGCTGGGCGGCATGATCTCCAACCCGCCCCTGAACTGCAACCCAGCGGCGATCTCCATGCCGGCGTCGGTCGATGCAGCAGGTGTGCCCATGTGGATGGTGGCACGGGGTCAAGGAAGGGGGCATGCACACAAGACGCCGCACGAGATGCAGCACACTCAGGTTTGGTCATGTGCATGTGTGCTCATGTGTACAGCATAGTAAACACGCCGCTTCTACTCCTCAAGACGAACCGCCCACACGACCGCCCCGCAGGCAAGCCCGTCCCCCAGCCTCTTGCCGACCGCCGCTCCAAGGGGCAGCTCCCCAAGAGCTTCTCCACCAAGAAGCTGCTGCAGGAGGAGGGCGGCACCTACGGCTGGCTCTACAAGCACGTGCAGCGCCTGCAGCTGTGGGGCCACTGCGGCGCCGTGGGCAAGGCCAGTGGCTGGGTGGCGCCGAAGGGATGGGAGCTGCTTGACACGCCACGCATCTCCAGCGACCTTAGGAGGTGCGCATGAAGAAGCATGCAGAGTAGTGCGACCGATGTGACCATGCCGCATGCGCAAAGCCGTTAAGACAAATGGGCTACGTGGCATCGCGTGGGTGCGACACGTGCATTGTTCACGTGTGTTTGCCACGCCGCGTCCTATATTGTCATGACCATCCCTCATATGACCCGCTGCTGTGGCGCAGCTACGGCCTGAAAGTCACCGCGGTCCCGATGGCTGCTGTTGTCAAGCAAGGCGCCCATCTGCTGGTCCTCATCCGCGGCACCGCCTCTTCGGCAGAGTGGATGACGGGTGCGCTGCCCGCCTGGACACGAGCTTGCGCGGCCCGGGGGGCCTCTCTGCCTGGTCCTGCGATGCATGGTGCACCAATGTTGCAAGAACAGCGTTGCGGCCGCATCGGTATGTGTGGATATCATATGCACGCGATACTCATCGAATATGTGTCGTGACGTCCATCCTTTGCGCGCACACACACACACACACGTTGCCGCCACAGATTTCGACTACAACATGCAGGAGGACGCCGCCTTTGGCCCCGGCCTACTCCACAAGGGCTTCCTGTCTTACGCCCACCAGCTTTGGGACGGCGGCCTCCAGAGCATTTTGGAATCCCAGCTTGCCGCAGGCACCATCACCGACATCACCTTCTCCGGCCACTCCTCGGGCGGCACGCTGGCCGGGCTGCTGGCTGCGCGCACGCAGGTGGGAGGGTAGAGGGCACGCTTGAAGCACGACTGTCGCAGCGTGCCGGGGCGCGCGCACGCGATACAACATGCGTTTTTGCACATCCTGTGTCCTGCCTTGCTTAGAGCGCCCGTGTATCCAACATGCCCCAAATGTTCTGACATGTTTTGGGCGGCCTCCCATCTTGCTTAAACCCGGCAGGCTTACCTGCAGCAGGGCAACGCCACCAGCAAGGGAGCCGGCCGCAAGCAGCTGCCGAGCCAGGCGCCGCTTCTCACCGTGGTGGCATTCGCCGCCTCAAACGTGGGCGATGACACGTTTGCTGCCTACTTCAACTCCAAGATCAATGCCCGCAACATCCAGTGAGTCTGTTTGGGTCATGTCAGTCATCAGAAATCGGGCCCAGGGTTCGCCCTGTTGCACACCGCATCTCGGCCTGAGCAGCCGTGACACAGCTGCTAGCCTATGCGCGCATAGGTCACAAGTGTGAACCGGTGGCAAGCGCGCCCCATCCCACGCAGCAAGAACTCAGCCCACACCAGAACTCAACCCTCGCACACGCGTCGCTCACCGCCCCTCCCGCTGCTCCTTGCTTGCGCACCCAACTCCCCACCCAGGTACGAGTATGACATCACCCCCCAGATGCCCTGCGCCCCCAAGACCGTCGCCTGCCCCAACCTCAAGGTCCCCACCCCCAACCCCAACGGCTACTGGCCCTACGCGCGCCTCGGCGGCCTCGTGCAACTCACCAGCAGCGACATGCCCGCCCAGCCGCGCGCCTGGCAGAAGATGGCGGTCTACAGCCAGTCCGACATGTGCCAGAGCCCCGAGAGCATGGGCTGGATCGCGCACGGCGTGCACTACTGCAGCTACTTCTGCGCGTTTAGCAAGTACCTGGGGGACGCCGACAACATGTGCCTCCTGTGGCCGGCCGGCGCGGGCGAGGCGGACAAGGCGAGCTACTGCCTGCGCGGCTTCGGGGCCGACGCGTACCCCCACATCAACCCCACCATGTTCCCGAACCCAAACTGAAGGATCTTCTTGTTGGTTTGGAGGGCCATCGCCGCTGAGGCGCTTGCGCGGCGGTCTGCGCGCGCGGCAGAGGCGCCGCCGGCGGGGGAGTCGCTGTGCCGGCTCCCCAGCTGGCATGATTTGACGGCTGCTCGCTCAGCACTCACGTCAGTCATCCCATGTGCACAAATGACGTCTGAACGTCTGACGTGCGCTTCACTTTTTGATCAACACTGTGCAGCCACCACCAAGCATGTGAACCAAGCCCCAGCCTGTCCGCTCGTGTCCAAATCAACTGGGGTCTGCGGCCGACGCCTTTGCCTCTGTGCGCGCCCTTTCCCCCATCTGACACACATCCGTCTCAAAAACATGTGTGGCAGCTGCCTGCCCCCATGCGGCGCATGCAACAGCTAGTGCCTGCAATGTCTTGCCTTGCTCGGCTTCGCTGACATGATGTCAGCCGCCTCCCTCTTTGGGTCGTGCATGAAAAAACTGCCTCATGGTTGGCTGCTGCCCGGCGCCAAGTTTGAAATTGGGACGCGCACCCCTACCTTTGCTGGTGTGCTGCGATGCGATTCCGTTGTTGTTGCTGCTGCAGATGGCAGCAGCATATGTGAGCCCCACAGCACGTTTGATGACCCCTTCGGCCGGCGCACGCGACCTGCTACCTGGATACAACACAGCAAGACCTCTTACAACTCATTGCTCCACACAGTACCAACCAACTGTAAACTCTCCTCGAGTCAGGTTTGCCTTCATTCCACAGGGTAGCAGCACAAAAAGCCAGCAGGGAATGGCCTTGTTTCAGGGCTTATTGACGCCCGCGACCTCAACCAGTGCAACACAAATGCCCTCATAACAAACATGAAGAGCGCACAAGCACCAAAGCGGCTGTCGCGCTTACACTGAGGTGTAGCCGGTGGGCCAGCTGAGATGCACACCCAGACTGGCGGGTTCTTGCAGACTTGGGGCCTGCAGCCTACTGCGGCAGCGGGAGCAGCGCAAAGGCGCCCGCCATGGTGCCTGCCACCACGACGCTCTGAATGTACCTGCCGTGCAGCGGTTTCAGGAGGGTGGATTTCAGGGTTAACCTTGCACAGGAAGGGAATTTCGCATGCCAAACAAGGAGACGATGCAGGTTCAAAAGCACCGCCCCGTGTGGTGCCCGCCCGCGCCAGCAGTAGGGGTGTTGCCCTGATCACACGCGCGTGCGTGCACAGGCTCACATGTTGTTGACCTTGGCGCGGATCTTGGAGGCGAGCGACGCGTCCTCGATGTACTGCAGGCCGCAGCCGTCCACGTCCCACGCGCCGGCCTGGGCGATGGAGCAGATGCCCTGACCGGGGGGGTCGAAGGATGGGGCGGTCAAGGTGACGAAGGCCAGGGGCAGGGGGTAGATGGCCGGCGTGAGCTTTGGGGCGGCGCAGGGGAGTTGCCCTCAACGCCGGGAGCGCCGGGAGCGAGCAAAGTGAGCCCTAGCATGATATCAACAATAGCCGCCCTATGCAAAGCCTCGAACAGCAGGAGGACCGCCCATTGCGTGTGCACTTGCACCTCGGCCGCCCCAGCAACCGCCCACCTGGCGGCTGGACTCTATGAGGCTGTAGCCCAGCCAAAACGGCACCCCGAGCGCAGCCGCCCGCGCGCCAGGGCCTAGGTGCAGGGCGGCCGCGGCAGCGGCCGCGGCAGCTGCGACGACGAGCAGGGCCTTCCCTGCGCGCCCGCGCGCGGCGCGCTCGTCCCCGCTAATGTTGGTCAGGTTGACGGCGGCCTGCAGCTGCAGGGTTTTGCGAGTGGCGGCGGTGCTGTCAAGAAGCTCCTCGTATGACATGCGAGTGCCGTCCTGGAGGGGTAGTGAAGATTGAGAGGCATGTTGAACACAGCAGGGAGAAGGTGAGGCAAGAAGGCCAGCCGGGCGACTTCATGAAACAGTGGTGGCGCAAGGCGAGATATGCAGGCCTGTGCTCAGGGTGTGGGCATACTAGTACGGGCTTCCTGTCCCAGTCAGCTTGCCATCAAATAAAATAGGGGCATTGCAAGCACAATCCCAGGTCTTCTTGAGCAAATGCTTGCAGTGTGCTGACCATGCCCACCTCTTTCAGCGGCAGCTCAACAGGCTTTGGGAGTGCCATTGAAATGGTGTTGCCCTGCCCTATGCCATAACTCTCCTGTTGTGGACAAGGTGGGCGCGCGTGCGCAAAGGGTTGCTCGATTGCTCCTCACAGATTTCAGCTTCGTTCGCCGGAGAAAGGGTGGTTGTCTCGGTCTGCAGTCTGTTGAAGGCATCGTGCACGTGTCAGGACTGCCAGCGAGGGAGCACTTGCACGCACATTGATGGTCCAGCCGATGGGGTTCTCCGTAGGTGCGATGTATGGCCGGTCTGGCTCTGCTGTGGCACCGCAGCGCTGCCGCCGCCGTGGCACCATGCCCGCGATGGAGGTAGTGCGAGGCAATGCGCAGGAGTTGTGGCGCCTGTGCGTGAGCCCGCCCTCAGCGCTGCGCTGCCGCTGGCAGGTAAGCTCGCGAGCCTGCATGGCGAGAATCAAAACTGGATACGTGCTGGTTTCTGGACTCAGAACGATGTGCTGCGCGGACGACGCGTTTGTGGTCGGAGATCGATCCAGCAGCTTCTCCGGGATAGAGCAGAGGCCGCGAGAGCAGTCTATGCTGATGGCGTAGTAAGATGATTAAAAGCCCGCTGGTTGTGAAGCGCCAGGGGTGCCTGGCGTCTGATTTCTGGTTCATGTCAGGTGACCCGCCAAGCGGCGCTTGGCGACCAGCGCTGCAAAATCGGCTACATGCCGCCGTTATGCCTGCTTGATGGTACAGCCACTGAAATTGTTGATTTGACACCCCCAAATGATTCAAAACCTGTCATGCTGCCATGTGGATTTGCTGTTCTGTCTCCTGGAGTCGACCCGCAAAATGGAGGGGCACGTTTGACCAAGCTGGGCAGGTTCAGCACACCTCCCTCCAATCACATCATGGGACACTAGGCTTGAGTATTCTCGCGTGCCAACAAGAGTCCGCAGCAAACGTGATGTTGCGCTGGGACAGCGGGCGGTGCAGTGTACAACGCAAGGCTCAATTACGAGTGCTTGACGGCCATGCCTGCAAATCCTCAGTTCGCCATGACATTTGAGAGTATTATTTTGGCTTCAGCGTGGCCGGCTTGAGAGCATGACATCAGAACTGGAAACTGCGGAAGGACACAGCATTCACCATCGGCACCAAGTGTGGGCACACCAGCAAGAGCATGACTGATCTGGTTCCTCCTGCCCAACACAAACACGCATCACGCATGCCGTAGGTGCAAGCAGAGTGTATTCAAGAAGTCATTGAAGCATGCTGGTCGCTTATCTCGTGCGTTAGTACTGTAGTCCTGAGCGAGTGTTTCACCTGCTGGATCGTCTCTTTATATGCTTATTGCCAAAGCGTCATAAAATTTCATAGGATAGTCCTGCCAGTCGCCGCAGACATCACCTCAGCCGCTGACGGCTAGTGCGACAAGTGCGTGCAGTCGGCGGCGCAGCACAAGCAGAAGCAGCAGCGCTGAAAGCTATGGCTCCCCCCAAAGGGCCCCCAGCCAGCGCCGATCCCCCGGCCAAGATGTCGAGCACGCTGCTCAACTTGCCGTTCATGCAGCGTAGCAAGCCGCGGCAGCCACCGGCAGAGTCAGTCGCGAGTACTGGCGGACAGCAGCAGCAACAGCAGCAGCAGCAGCAGCAGCAGCAGCAGCAGCAGCAGCAGCAGGCAGCAGCGGCCGGCACTAGCGGCGTGGGCGGCGCGGCGGTGTCGGACAGGCTGCAAGGAATGAAATTCATGCAGCGGGCCGCGCAGAAGCGCAAGGCGGAGGACGCTTTCGGGGCGGACGAGGCCGCGGCGCAGCAGGCTGATGCAGAGGTGACTGCGCGGCACTTTTTGGCTTCCCTTGGTTTGAATAGCGACACGCCAAGGCCAGGCGGGGTCGTCAAGGTTGCAGCAAGTTGACATCAGCAGGTGCATGTACCCCGCTGCTCAGGCATCTCTCGTCGCAGCCCCCGCCACAGAATTGGTGAAAGCGAGAAGAGCTGTTCCGCAACATCACCCCCCCTTACGCTCAGCACACACCCCCGCCTCCTGCGGCTGCACCCAGCTGTGCCGCCCCTCAAACCACCGAAACCCACACGCCCCTTCCGCGCGCCGCGCTCCGTGCCTGCCCCTGACCCCGCAGGCCCATTGGGTGTTGCCGGCTGCCAGCGGCAAGCGGTGCGTGGTCGTTTGCGAGCGCGACCCCCTCCCCGAGGCCCTCGCTTCGGGCAGCGGCCGCGTCTCTTTCGGCAGCTTCGGCCAGGCAGCGGGCGCCGCAGCGAAGGGCTCGGCTGCGGCGGCGGCGGCGGCGGAGGGCGGCGTGGCCAAGGGGCAAGGCGCTGACGTCAGCGACGAGCAGATGGCCCGGCGGCTGGGTGGCGGTGGAGGAGGTGGAGGGGGAGGCGGCGGTAAGGGCGGCAAGGGAGCGGGCACCGGCGCCGCAGGCACAACTTTGGGGGAGGGGGATGGCAACGGGGCGGATGATTGGCCGCAGGCTTTGCGGCAGAAGAAGCGACGAAAGCAGTAGTTGTTGACGTGTAACCTACATTTTGCAAGTTTGCTTATGAACTATCCCTTTCTGACGTCACAAGGATGCAGCAAGTTGTCGCTGAAGCCGTATAGCAACGGCACAGGCGCGGGTGCAGCACGCGCAGGCGCTCCTGACCAGGGTCGGTGGCTTGAGGCTCACGCGGGTGCTGCACATGCAGGTGGGGGGCGCCACGGCTGCGAGCCCTCTTCTTGACATAGAAGTCCCAGCTTTGACTCATCAGCCACTGTTTTTCCACAGTGCATCCTGGTTCTGCTATGCCACCCCAAGAGGTTGCTGACGCAGCATGGATGGCCCCAAGAGGTTGCTGACGCAGCATGGATGGTCCCAGCTCGAGTCAACAGATATCGCAGTACTGTTACCCACCACCCTCTGCAGCGCTAGGCCTGGGTGCCCGGGCCTCTCACAATTCAACACACACCCGACCCATGAATTGTTTGCAAATTGCCACGCTTGATTTTGAGTGACTGCATCGCAGTTTGTTGACACACCACGCGTTCAGATGACGCAGGGCGCACGCGCAAAGCATCAAAGCAGGCGCACGCAGGAACGCAGCGAGCCAAGGGCACACATGGCAGCAGCGGGTGACGGAAAGCTCAACTCTTGGCTTTGGCGGCGGCCAGCAAACCCATGGCTTCAAACTTCCCAGCTGATGGGGTGGACGTGCACGCGCCGCCCGCCCGTGGGCGCGCACGCCGCCTCCGCCACGCCCTGTGTGAGCGCCCTCGGGCCGCACACAAACACGTGCGCGCCGCCTTCGCACGCGGCCGCGTCGGCGACGAGCGCGTGCAGGTCTGGGCGGCCGGCGTGGAAACGGATGCCGGCGCCCGCAGACGCGGCCGCATCGATTACGGCGGCCGAGGTTACCTTGGACGCGTAGTCTGCTTCATCGTGAATAGTGATGCGGCCGCCTGGCGACGGGCCTCGGCCGGCGGGAAGGCGCTCCGCGGCCCCCGCGCGCGAGCCGTCGGCGCCGCGGCGGAGCCGCCAGCTGCGCACCAGGAGGGCGGCCGCAGCCGGGGTGAGGAGCATGCCGGCGACGGCGAGGATGATGTTGAGGGTGCCGGGCAGGATGAAGCACAGGCCTGCGAGGCACAGCAGCGGGAGATGCAAGATTGGCATGTTGGCTTGGTACTAATAGAAATAATCCAGTGCCAGGCGGCGCCGCTAGGTATGATGTCAGATTTGACAAACAGATATCTAGCAACACGTACCTAATCACCTGCAGACGTCAACACTCTAATCACAACTGCGCTATCCCGCTGCCTTCCCACCCCCACGTCACAGCATGACTTCACCGTCCCAAAAGTCCCTCCCTTCCCACCCCGCACGCCCCCCAGCCCCGCACCTATGGGCTGGCACGCCGTCGGCTGCACGCCCGACGGCCATTTTGCCTGTGTCGTGTAGTCCACCTGACAATAATCGCCGATCACGTCCGCCCGCCCGGCCAGCCGGCACACAGAGGGCGCCGTGTCTGCGAGCGCGGGTTGGCCCTTGGGCCACGCGCCCCCGCTGGCGGCGAGGACGGACGCATTGTAGGACGCCTCCAGGGGGCCCCACCGCGGGTCGCTCGGCTCCAAATGGTAGTTGCACGCGAGCGCGCCGCCGGCGACGTACCCAGCGGCGGCCCCGAGCACCGCCGCCACAATCAGCAGTGCCTCGATCAGGTGCGGCAGCATGCTGCCGCGGGCGGCGCGGCGCGGGGACGCGAGGGGGATGGGCAGCGCCGGCGGCGGCGCCTTGGACGGGAGGGCAGCGTGCTCAGGGTCTGAGGCCCCCTGGGTGATGTGAATGTCGATGGCGGCGCCAGCGGCGGCGGCACGGTGCAACAGGGGCTGCACAGACGCAACGACCTGTGGAGGGGCGGGGCGTCATCATCAGGTGGGCGGGCGGGTGGGG